CTTCACTACTGGATCACGTATTATATGAGCTCCATAACTCATTATTCTTGAAAGCGGGCTCAGCCTTTAAAGGCTAAGCCAAAGCAGTTATGGCAGCCAGGTGGGCGGGGCGGCATCCTCTTCACAAGCGGGTGGCGCCATCCTCTCGTATTTTTGAGCTGCGAAATTAGTACATCCTCCACCCTTGTCGACAAAGCTACGATATCTAAGGAGGGCGTAGGAACATCAAATGAACGCGGGCGCTGCTTTTAAGTGAATTGGCCGGATCACCCAGTTGTCATCAGACGCTCCTCCTACGTCGCGGCCTCGCTTCGCCAAGCGCTCTTATACTAGGCGAGCTAGACCGCGCGGAATGCGCCAACTGGTCACAGTGCTGAGTAACTGAGAAAGAATGAGTTGAGAATTATCTACATCTACACCACTTACCCCTCCTCCCTTTCCCCTACTCGACATCGTTAACATTCAGCTAATAATAGCTTGTAGTTCAATTTTACGATTACGATTCTGTTGACATCGTGGTGGTTAAAGAAAACAGTTCGCTCACCGGGCCACAAGTATTTGACGGAATAGTGGTGAGTAGTATGAAATGTAATGAGGATGATTCTATCTATTCTTAATAACTGATATTATCACTTGTCACCCACCATAAATGTCCTCATTACTACATGTTTACAATTTGGCAGTGTAAAAGCTCCAACAACTCGAACAACGACCGCAACGTCCCTCATCAGCCCTTGTCACTTATTATTGCTTTTCGTCACCCACCATTGATGTCACTATCTCACCCTCTCTACTCCTTTTTCTGGAACTAGCGCCTCACTGATGTGTGATTCGCGCTGTGAATACACTGGCCTTACCCTTCTGACGCCTCTTATCGAATCTCTTCAGCAGCTTTCTATCGTGTTAACCACTAAAGGTTCGTCACACCCCCTACATCACTTCGTGGGACAAATATCTCACTGTATTGGATCTTCTTAGAAAGCACCGCCTATCTCGAGTACGTTCCCCCATTTCGGGTGCGCCCCCACCATCTGGTCCGTCCTCCCTTTGCTAATCTTGTTTCATTTTCCCCCCTATCGTAGCTGCTCTGGAGCAAAATAATGATTTTTTTTGGGTGACACCGCTGACTAGCAGCGTATGCCTCATCCACTGTGAGCGTAGGTTACCATGGTTGTGTATAATCTTTACGTCATGTCCCTTGCCCTACCCATCCCAAGCTTAACCCGATCTCTCCAAGTTGTTCTCCAAGTAAACCTCTCCGGATTCGGTTTATCTGGAGAACAACCGAACTAACAAGGGAAGGATACCAACTCGTCCTGGCCATTCAGAATGAGATGTATACTCCTAGGAGCGTCTCCGGATGCTGATATCAGATCTGACTTCCAAATCTGCTAAACGATTCTGGGTGGAGAGTTACGGACCTTTTTTGCTACCGTGCTTAACCATTGCGGTGCGACCCCTGCCCATGCTTTGCGCTCGTAAACCCCTCGTGAGCGAGTTCTATGAAGCCATCCACTTACCTGCTGCGCCATCGAGCCACGGCGGCAGCTGGGTCACGAGGGGTTTACGAGCGCAAAGCATGGGCAGGGGTCGCACCGCAATGGTTAAGCACGGTAGCAAAAAAGGTCCGTAACTCTCCACCCAGAATCGTTTAGCAGATTTGGAAGTCAGATCTGATATCAGCATCCGGAGACGCTCCTAGGAGTATACATCTCATTCTGAATGGCCAGGACGAGTTGGTATCCTTCCCTTGTAAGAGAGAGACAGACAGACAGATGCAGTAAGTTGTAGAAAGTGGGTGATAAAACCGACCTCTTCTCCTCGCACTCGATCATCTTTCGGTAGATCTCCAACTCCAATAGCATGACCTCTGACATGGAGCCATGTTCGACGAGCTTAAGTACTCTATTTCAATATTTAAGTGGAAATTATGTGAAGATTCTCCCTGTATTTTCAGCGAAGCAAACTTCACATCAGCTCAAAGTAAATATGTCTATCCAGATAGGTTCTTAAAAGCTCACCTGAACATCCAGATAGCTCCAAGGCACATTCTACAATCCGCCTTTGAGCTATCTGGACCTTCATATGGATTAATTCATCTGTTCCGCGCAGCTTTTCCTGGTTGGGTTGCCCATTCTATAGAATAAAGCAGTGGCGCTCTAATGAGAGATAAGCAAAGCTTGCGTAAATGACTCTGCACTACTAGTAGGGATACACACTTAAGGGCATGGGGCACGACAGTTTGGTGATTGCTCAAAAGCAGTTGCAGGAAGGACGAGGAACGAAGTTGAACGGCCAAAAACCTGCGAGAAGAACCCTCGCCCTACACGGCATGGATGCGCATTTTTGGACGAGTTTCCCTTTGGCATCGTGCCAACAACGGCTTTGATAGACACATTTGCACGCATTTATTTATTTATCCATGTAGCTACGCTTCATGTCAACTGCACTTCATAAATGAAGCGATGACAGTACTAGCGTCGATGTGACTGTGCGGCCATTTGTGTGGGGGTTCTTGCGTCTGAATTGGCATGTTTCACCTTGGTTAGGCGCTATAATGGTTTCCTTGGGTGGAAAAGGCGTCACGCAGCGCCTCACAATATTCTTTCGTTCTAAACTCATTGACCCCGTACGACTTTATAGTGCAACTTGCCTCTAAAGGGACATTTCGCAATAAAATAAGGCTATAAGTTCTCAAATGTGTAAGACGATCCGGCACCAAAAGAGCGAAAAGTCGCAAGAATTCCAGTGGAATTCGAGTATATAGGGTCATGGGCACCCCTTAGGCCCATGCCGATACCCACCGGCTGCTAGCTACTAGCTAGTAGCCACTATGCTATCTCTCTCCATTCCGAATGGTGAGAGTGAGGTGATAAGATAAAAGAGCTGATATCTTTATGATAACGACGGTGGAAATTCGTACAAACATGCCTTTTTCTTGACCATATACACGTACATTTCGGGATCGTTATGGAGTCCTATACAGGGTGTTCCGGACGGTTTCCTGTTTTTTTCCCCACTGTTCAGTTACCTAGCAGTTTTCGGTCCTATGTAAACTCGATTACCCGCCATCTGCGGTCGCGGGCTTTGCCTTTAAGGATAACGCGATGGCCTTATTCGTCACGCAGTACGTTACATTTAGGAACCATGGTGCCCGTTCCGGAAAACCATCTCTGCACTGTCCTATGTTCTACTCTTTGAGAACTGTATAAATATGCTCTGGCATGGGCAAAGATATCAGGGGATGGCGACAAAGAACTCACCAGGACGCTGGTACGTGGCAAACGCATTGCTGTACTCTGCATCACGACGTCGTTTCTCTTGCTCGTAGCTCTCCTCATCCCTTCTCATCTGAAAATGAAAAATGCTCCAATACTGTTCCACATGTGCGCCATCCTATAGAATTTTGCATGCTATGTCTGTCTCGATGAACGTAAGGACTGAACTTCTGGAGCCCTCTCTGCCCCCCCCCCCCCCCCCCCCCCCC